GTTGTCAGGGCTCCTCTGCAGAGATACATAATATATTGAGAACTCTGTTTCAGTTATCAGCAAATTCAAGAAAAGAAAGTGTTTGTTATACTTGTATACAAGACAGCATATTTTATGTTGGTGATCTACAAGCTAACAACTCAGCTGAAAACTAAATAATCTGCGAGTATCCAACTCCAATTTCATCTTCAAGTTGGCTGATTATTCTGCTAAAAGGGGTAAGATCTCCCTAGCACATGCTTTTCTATGTGAACATCCTAACATTGCATGATTATAAAAAACCACTGATCTTGACCAAGTAATGACCTCCTATGAACCTCAAGAATTAAAAAAAAAAAAATCGACATTGAACCTAAATATTAATTTATTTAGGCATCATTAGAAACCACCACATGTTTTCAGAAATAGTGTTACCATGTGTACAATTGTGTCGCGTTTTCCTTTTCCATTTCCGTGCAACCGAGGCTATATGCACAGAGAAAGTCCAAAGCAAAAACATTGCTTCTAAATTCAAGCATATTTGTTACATATGCCAATTTCCCACTAATTATGTTGTCTATCATTTAGTAGAGATGCATCACCTAACATGTGGCAATGGTCCCATGATTCCTTATCCATGAGATTTGTGATGAGATGCATTTTAATGCACTGGACAATCTCTACGATAGATAGCATTACCATTTTCCACAGCACAACCTCAGACTCATACCCTCAGATTGTCGTCAGAATTCAAGAAAGTTGCTCAAATTAAACATGGAAAAAGCTGAAATTCCCTTCAAGTACCAATTGAAACGCTACCCATATCAGATTTCATAACGTATTTCAACTTTTTAGCAGAATAATCCAATAAAATATGCTACAAAAAATGAATTTGGGCTATCAATAGGAAAAGGAAAAAAAAAAAAGTTACCAGTTTGCGTTGGTACCTTGAAGAATCGTGCTGGTGAATCTGTTCCAATTGTGTTTCTTTACGCTTAATCTTTCAACGCGAGCATGCCGTTTGATGAAAATAGCCCCCCTCAATTCAAATCGTAATTGGCTGTGTTGCTTAGTTTGGCTAATCTTTAGTGCAGCGGCCAAAAGAAGCAGCTTCTTAATCTACATGGATAGATTAATGCTATTTATGATCGTGACTATGGAAGTCACGCAACTCGTTATCACTCACATTTCTCACTCTCTTCCCCTATCAAATAAAAATTGATCCGTCCTATTTTATTATTCCAAAATAAAGTTCACCAAACATGGGCTAATTCTGAGCTCATTGAATTGCTCAAATATTTTGAAAATGATTGTATTACTATCACTAGCCAAGAAAAATAAGAAAATTTAGTTATTTCAAAATGGTGAAAATTGCAAGCTCGATTGTATTCGTATGTCAGCTATAGCCTACGATTTGGTAACACCCTCTAATCACAACGGTAACATCACAATCTACATTTAGTAAAATGCTGATGAATCGATGAAGAATAAGTTCGACTCATTGAACTATTGAAGTGTCTCATGTGCATGAAGGACTAAAAATATGCATTATTCAAATTATAAAATCAAGATTGTACAGATTCCGACTCAAAAGAGCCCCCAAAATACCTCATGAAAATCTACTAGCCACATATTTTGTTGGATTCAAGTTTACATACAACCTCCAAGAATGAAATTACCTTAGAAAAAAAATTAAAAATCCACGGCTCACAAAATAAAATAAGACATAATTATGATACATGATTCGATCTACCATTCTAACTCGTGTACTTCTTGAATCTATACTATTGGAGTGACTTCGGGACTCAACTCATGTTGCAAAATGAGGAAACCTTTAGCATGGGTTAATTCATTCGGATCAGCTCAAAAACACATGTATCTCCGACCTTCAGATTTCTGTCCTTTGCGAATGTCTTCCATCCTCTGATTATAAAGCTCTCGTTATCTTTTCTTTGAATGACACAAACCAACACTTCTTGCCATCTGAATTGTGAAATTCAACATGTCCTATATCAATCGGCAGATACTCCGTAGCAATGCAGATGAGATGTACTTCAGAAACAAGGTTATGCTCGACGAGTAGTAAACTTAAACATGGAAAAAGTCAAGAAAGGTGCATAATTTAAATACCCTCTATAGTTGAAGAGTAAAAAGTTTACAAAACTGACGAAATGGTCCTCGACAAACTTTTCCGAGCCATCGTGAAACCTAAGTGTTGTTTCCATCTTTTCCAATCTCGCACACCAAATGCTGGCAATAGGATCAAAAAGTCTCACAACGTTGGAAAGTTGATGACCACATTTTCCAACAAATTTGTTGGCAATCCTCTGCACAAATTCATAAGATACTCGACAACTCTATTTTAGTTATAGTGATGTCAAGGAAAATAGTGTTGTATGGTACTTGTAATAATCAAGACATCAAATCTCATGTCGACCAGCTAAAACCAACAACGCAACTAAACGTGTATATGTAGCCAATGACAATTTCTCCAAGTTCACTGATTAATCTAAACACTAACCATAACTATTCACCTCTGCAACGCGCAATCCATACAACTTACACATACAATTGACTTGACTGTCATAATGTCAAACGGTTGTCGATCTTTTTCTAGAAACGACAACCTTAGTGTCAAATAATTTGTGTTCGGAGTGTACAAGTGGCATATAGGTGAATAGGGGTTGGCAAGGAATCAATTAGCAATAAGAATACGAAGATTTTTTAGGTCAATAATTCTGAATCCATAGTTATACAATGAAAATCACCCTTTCATATGGATATTCTAATGTCATTATTTCAACTCCAGATGAAGAGTACCACCTTTATGCCTGTACTTGCCAGTTCCTAATGCATGCGCCTCAATTTGGTCGGTAGGTATATTAATTTTATTTTATTTAACCTTATTTACCAACTGATTAGTGAAACTAGAATTAATTCCCCTTCAAACTTGAGATGAAGGGTTCTAGGTAATTTTTCCTTGAATTTTACTCCTTGTACAGAATTATTTGTTCCGTAAATTTTACATATACTCACATGGGGGTGGGCCCCATGTGAATAAAATATTATTATAAAAAATGGGGCCCACCCCAATGTGTCTTATCTGTTGTTTTTACAGATGAAGTTTTTCTGTAAGGCTCCGTTTGATAGCCTTAGTAATGAAATTACCTTAGAAAAAAAATAAAAAATCCACGGCTCACAAAATAAAATAAGACATAATTATGATACATGATTCGATCTACCATTCTGACTTGCGTACTTCTTGAATCTATTCTATTGGAGTGACTTCGGGACTCAACTCATGTTGCAAAATGAGGAAACCTTTAGCATGGGTTTATTCATTCGGATGAGCTCAAAAACACATGTATCTCCGACCTTCAGCTTTCTGTCCTTTGCGAATGTCTTCCATCCTCTGATTATAAAGCTCTCGTTATCTTTTCTTTGAATGACACGAACCAACCACTTATTGCCATCAGAATTGTGAAATTCAACATGTCCTATATCAATTGGCAGATACTCCGTAGCAATGCAGATGAGATGTACTTCAGAAACAAGGTTATGCTCGACGCATAGTAAACTTAAACATGGAAAAAGTCAAGAAAGGTGCATAATTTAAATACCCTTTATAGTTGAAGAGTAAAAAGTTTACAAAACTGACGAAATGGTCCTCGACAAACTTTTCCAAGCCATCGTGAAACCTAAGTGTTGTTTCCATTTTTTCCAATCTCGCGCACCAAACGCTGGCAATAGGATCAAAAAATCTCACAACGTTGGAAAGTTGATGACCACATTTTCCAACAAATTTGTTGGCAATCCTCTGCACAAATTCATAAGCTACTCGACAACTCTATTTTAGTTATAGTGATGTCAAGGAAAATAGTGTTGTATGGTACTTGTAATAATCAAGACATCAAATCTCATGTCAACCAGCTAAAACCAACAACGCAACTAAACGTGTATATGTAGCTAATGACAATTTCTCCAAGTTCACTGATTATTCTAAACACTAACCATAACTATTCATCTCTGCAACGCGCAATCCATACAACTTACACATACAATTTACTTGACTGTCATAATGTCAAACGGTTGTCGATCTTTTTCTAGAAACGACAACCTTAGTGTCAAATAATTTGTGTTCGAGTGTACAAGTGGCATATAGGTGAATAGGGGTTGGCAAGGAATCAATTAGCAATAAGAATACGAAGATTTTTTAGGTCAATAATTCTGAATCCATAGTTATACAATGAAAATCACCCTTTTCATATGGATATTCTAATGTCATTATTTCAACTCCAGATGAAGAGTACCACCTTTATGCCTGTACTTGCCAGTTCCCAATGCATGCGCCTCAATTTGGTCGGTAGGTATATTAATTTTATTTTATTTAACCTTATTTACCAACTGACTAGTGAAACTAGAATTAATTCCCCTTCAAACTTGAGATGAAGGGTTCTAGGTAATTTTCCTTTGGATTTTACTCCTTGTACAGAACTATTTGTTCCGTAAATTTTACATATACTCACATGGGAGTGGGCCCCATGTGAATAAAATATTATTATAAAAAATGGAGCCCACCCCAATGTGTCTTATCTGTTGTTTTTGATGATGAAATTTTTCTGTAACAGTAGCATAATTCTTTTCCCTTTAATAAAAAAATGTAACAGTAGCTTGATTCTTATCTGTTGTTTTTACGGCTACTTTTGTATTATCTTCAATTCTATTTAAAAAAAACTTCCTCATGCAATAAATCAAATAAAAGTACAACAAAATATTACAATAAAAATTTTGCACGTATTTTCAAAGTAAATAAAATTACAAAAATATTGAATCCATTGAAGGTTTGGTAACTCGAGAATCCTATTGCACTTAATATAAACAGGTTCCCAAGTTCAAATGCCTCGCCAAAAAATAAAAATAAAAAAGTAAAAAATAAAAAAATTGTGACTATTCATATACCGTTCAACTTGTCTGCTGCTCGATTCCGATCAATTGAAGTTAATTTTGGACTGTCCGTGTTGCTAAAGGTGGAAGGTTTCCACCTTTAGCATGCGTTTATTGATGTCGATTAGCTCAAAGACACAAGTATTACCAACTTTGAGATTTTTTAGCTTCGCAAATGCCTTCCATCCTTTTGATAGATATCTGTCCTTACCCCCCTTTTTTTGCATGACACGGACCGGCCACTTCTGGCCATCTGAATCAAGAAGTACAATAAGCCCTGGTGCACTTGGCATATACTGAGAAAATGCGACTGGCACATACTTCAGAACACAAAAAATTGCACCATGTTAGGGTCAAATGAAGGCTATATATGGATGATAGAACATAGTAAACTCAATTTCGGAGAGTCAAGAAATCAACATGATATATCAACCCCAGTAACATAAACCTCAAGAGCTTACCATCCAAAAGTGTGGAGACAGATTGTTTCGTTTCAATTTGACGGTAAATGAAGGATTTATAGGCAAATATTTTGCTGCAGCATCTATGGTCTTCATTATTGGGCCACTTTTAATACGCGAGGACGATAGGTTTTCATCTATATTTCACCAAATCACATATAAGGTAAACATTTCAAAAAATGAATCTGACTCACCAAAACAGATATCAAACAAAATTTACGGTAAAGAACTTACTTGAACTAGATTGCCGATTGCCTTCTGTACACGGAATTGCCTCTTGAACATTCTTGATAGTGATATTCTTAGGTTTTTTGCTCTGTGTTTTAATTCTCTCATCTTCTATTTTACATTTGCTTCGTGTACGATAGCAATGCTGGGATTTTGACCTCTCGGCAGCATCACTCTTACCTTTTTTGACTTCAATGGCAAGTTCTTCTGATGAAAAAGACAAATCTTGCGTAGTCTGGTGATAATGTCTTCTATTATTTGTTGCACTAACCCCACATTCATTTGGTTTGCCGGGGAAGAAAGCTAAAACTTCATCAGATTCATCATCACTATTCTCTTCCTTTTCAGAAATAGAATTCCGAGTACTGTGATTGGTTCTTTCAAAATTACGATTATTATTAAGTGAATAGTCAACCTCAGTGGCTGTCAAGTCTAATATATTTACATTGAAGGTTGAGTTCCCTTTGTATTTGAAGAGTAAAAAGTACCCATAACTGATGAAGTGGTCGTCCACAAACTTTTCCCAGCCATCGTGAAGCCACAGTGTCTTTTCAATCTTTTCCAATCTGACATGGGAAACAGCACTGGTAGGATCTGTAAGTGTGACAACATCAGAGAGTTCATGCCCATATTTTTCAACAAATTTATCAGGGATCCTCTGCACAAATACATATTATAACTCTATTTTAGTTATCACTGAAGTCAAGAAAAAAGGTGTTTAATAGTACTTGTAGTCAAGATGGCAAAATTTTATGTTGATAAACTACACGCAAACAATGCAACTGAAAAAATAAAAAATCATGTAAGTTCCTAATGACATTTGCCTCATCAAGTTGGCTGATTATTCTCCTAGGTAAGATTTCCCTTTACAGAGCCTTTATTCCAGAGTTAATCCATGAATGAACAAATATGAGACATTAGCACTCAGAATTGACATGAATCTTATATTCTAAATGAAACAATGAAAAAGGGACTAAACGTGTAAAAATCTCATGAATGAGTAATATATATTTTTTTTTTGATAGGTAATCACGCAATTTTATAAATAAAATCAAAAGATAATACACAAGGAGTGCATTATCAGTTTAAACAAGAAAAAAACGATAAAAAATTCGGCAACCCTTCTATCGGACTAATGGTTGCAGCCTTAAACCAACCATACAAAGTCAAATAAAACAATTCCCTAAATTGTTCTGTCGTCCGAATTTGGTCTTCAAAACATCTTCCGTTTTGCTCTCTCCACACACACCAAACAATGCATCCTGGAATGAGATCCCAAACAAGCTTGCTATTCTTATCTCGAAACTTTTTTTTCCATGCCCACATCACCTCCTTGATACGTCTTGACAACACCCAACTCATATGTTGCGAAACCAGAATATCATTCCACATCCAACGAACACCGTCACAATAAATGAACAAATGATCGATCGTCTCGCCATCCCTCTTACACATATAACACCACTCCGTAATACAATAGCCCTTTCTTCTAAGATTATCCGCCGTTAACACCTGTCCCCTCACCNAAAAAAAAAAAAATTGCAGGGCAAGAAAGCTGATAGAGGAATCTTGCCATGCACCACGAATTAGATGGCAGGCACAATTCTTACTAGTTCTCCGCACTACTTTTCTACAGTTGAAGACTCTCATGCCTTTTTAATGAAAAATTGGCTGGCTCTGGTAAGGAGTTAATCTTTCAAGACAAGAAGCTTGAAATAGTTCCTTTAGCATTCTGTACATCTCCTTGGCAAAGTGATGTGCTATAATGACCACTACAAACGAAGGACCATTGACAATTATTACATATAATGTTATAAAATTGGGAAACTGCAAACTTAAGAATCTCCTCGGTGCTTCATGCCTGTGAAGAGTTAATTTAAATTTGAAGAATCTCTCCACCACCAATGCGAGTGTGTAATTTGATGGCATAGTACATAAATTTTGTAAAAGAAACAAGATCAAAATTTTGATTTATCTGCGTATTAAACTGGCTAAGAGAATGATTCATTAAATATATTTTATGCACTTATCTAGGCTATTTTACGTGGATATTGGGGAGTGCTTTTAGGGAATTATTGCTTAATCTCGTGTAAATATTGTTTATTTAGGTAAAACTCGATATTGGACAAGCATTTGGAGAAAATAATGAAAACTGAGCAAAAAGTATGAATTTGGTGCATTGTTTTGAGAATGGAGATCAATTTAATACAATTTAGAAGAAATAGGACATTAGTTGCAATTATAAGGGACATAAGCTGGATAGCAAGTAAAATTCTAGGACCAAAATGCAAAAAAGAGGAAAATGCATTGTGCCATGCGATCGCATGACACAAAATAAGTGCGATCGTAAGACATAGGACCTTAGTTGCAATTATGAGGGACATAAGCTGGATAGGAAGTTGAATTCTAGGACCAAAGTGCAAAAAGAGGAAAATGCATTGAGCCATGCTATCGCATGACACAAAATAAGCGGTCATAATAGCCATTTTCATAGAAGCAAAAGCGAAAGTTTTTGAGCCATGCTATCATGTCCATTTTTACCATGCGATCAATCTGCATGGTACAAATCTGGAGAAAAGATTTCTTTCCTTTTTTGTTTTGTCCACCTTTTGAAAAGTAATTTGGGTGACATTTTAAGCTATTGGGAGCCTCCAATTTCGACATTCTTCATATTATAACGTGAAGAACAAGACTAGCAAAGGATTAAAGGCAAAACAACATCAAGAGATTCAATACTTGAAATTGAAGATTCAAAGCAAGAAATTGATTTCACATATTTTTCTTGCTTTTATACATTCCGGGTGATGAATTTTCGGTTCTTTTGTTGTATTTTCATTGTAGAGATGCTAGGCTAAACAATCTTGGATTGGAATGAAGATGAAACCTTTTGTTTTACCATTTTAATTTAAAAACCGTTTATTTAGTTAATTTGTGTTGCTGATTGATATTACATGCTCATTGAATTATTTGAATACTTGATCACCATTAAGATAATTAGTTTTTTTTTTTTTCGGGAGGTTCGAAATAAATCTAGAACATTAATATTAACACAAGGCTCAATAAACGTTAGGAACAATAGTATGACTCGTGCAATCTCATAGGTAATCGTGTATATGAATGCATTACTTCATATATGAATTCGGATCGTACTTAGGAATAAGGTTGGCTTACCTCAGAAGAAATAGTTGGATAAAATTGAATTATTTGTTTTCAATAACACATAAATTATACCAGATAACATAGGTCAAGAGTTGAAATGGGGGAACAATAGGTGGATTTGGAGTCTCATCACATCTTTCTCATATATAGTTTTAATACAATTTTAGATATAATTAGGACTATACTTACCATTTTAATTTAAAAACCGTTTATTCAGTTAATTTGTGTTGTTGATTGATATAACATACTCGTTGAATTATTTGAATGCTTGATTACCAACTAGATAATTAGTTGTTTGTTTTTATTTTCGGAAGGTTCGAAATAAGTCTAGAACATTAATATCAACAAGGCTCAATAAACATTAGGAACAATAGTTTGACTCGTGCAATCACAAAGGTGATCGTGTAAATGAATGCATTACTTCACATATGCATTCAAGATAGGAATATTATCGGATCGCGCTTTGGAATAAGTTTGGCTTACTTTGGAAGAAATAGTTGGATAAAATTGAATTATCTGTTGTCAATGATACATAAATTATACTAGATAACATAGATCGACTCAACTTTACCCCCTTGTTATCCAAATTTCAGAGTCTCATCACATCTTTCGCATATAAAGTTTTACTACAACTTTAGATATAATTAGGACGATACTAGTAGTTAAACAAACGATTCCGTACGCTTGCGGAATTTCACTTAACAATGATCTCCTTCATGAAAGGCAGAGACAGGGTATGTAAAGAGTTATCATATGAATATCGTGGCAGCCATTATGTGATTATGAACTCAATAAAAATATCCCATGACACACATAAAATCCAAAGCAACTACAACGCATTATTACTAAATTCAAGCACATTGCCAACTTATTAAACGTTGTTAAACTTCTTAACAGCATTACAAAATTATGATAAAAGAAACTAAGTTTGGGCTGTCACTCAATAAAAGAATCCGAATCATCTTAACATGCTTCAGGCCGTTTGGCATGGCTTTTGATGAGGCAAAAGGACTCAAAAGCTCCTTTTGGACTCCTTTAGTTAATTTTATACAAATGCTTCTTTATATATAAGAGCTTTTAGAGGAAGAACATCGAACATGGCTTCCTTCGAAAGCTCTTCCAAAAGGAAAAAAAACTCTTTGGAAATTAGTTTCTAAAAACTAATTAAGATAGCTTTTTGAGAAAAGAAAAAGAAAAAAGAGATTAATATAACATACCAAGCACAACAACATTCAACACTCAGTTCCTATCAACGATGTTAACTTCAAGAAACGAAGCCCAACCCAATTCAAGAAAACATCAGGAAAATATAAATACTTATTTGCAATAAAAGATTCATTATTTCTTGGTCAGAAAGTTACCAGTTTTCGACGGCTATCAACTGAGGGCAAAATAATCTTGAAAAATCTAGCTGGTAAATCGGGTCTTTCTTCCGTTTTCATCAAGAAAAATTGTATGAGAAGCACCTTTCTCGTATAGAATTTCAATCCCAGTAGACTAATTTGTTCAAGATAAGACTGCCTTTACGCCTGTTCCTTTTGGATTTGTCTGGTGCGGCAAAATTTTGGAGGAATTCTTTAAAAGGGTTTCCTTTATAACGGTGAAAGTAAATATCATAAAAGGAAAAAATAGGGGTTAATTCTTGTTTGATAAAGATTCAGATTTACTCAAATTATATTTTACTAAAAATTATAGGTGATGCTACACGTACATAATGAGGTGTTCATAACGGTGTTTATTCCCTCACATGGAGGGGGATGCACTTCGAATAAAATATAATATATCCAAAGTGAATCCTCCTTCATGTGAGGGGGTGTACATTGATATGGACACGACATTATGTACAAATAGCATATTTCAAAAATTATTTCCTTTTCCATCCAACCCTAGCATGTGCGGAGTTGTTATGGATTAATTAAGCCCACATTTGATCTACATTATTATCTCATTAAAATGAAAAATATGATCATTTCCACCATATCAACATTTATGCCCTGTTTGGGAGGGATTAGATTTTTCTACAGTAAATCAATTCTCATTTTTAACCACACATTCTTCAATAAAATAATATTTTCCATCCCATCAATAATTTTTTTCTTTTTCAACCACACATTTCCCATCATATCACTATCCAAAAATCAATTCTTCCACCAAAATCCTTACCAAACAAGCACTATGATATACTAAATAGTCACATCAATAAGTACCCACTGAATAGTCTTACTCATGTACAGAGTAATCTCGATGTACAAGGCAAAGCCATTCAAATCTAATAATCTGGTCATACGTACACAGAGCTGCTCCAAAGGCTAATCACCCTAGTACACGGCTCAAAGCCTATGTGTGTACGAGAGTGGGTCTCAAAGGCCTCTGACTAAAATATGTAT